TGGGGGGGGGGGGGAGGAAATGAATTGCGTCAATTCTTTTTTCTTGTTGTTGCTAGGGGTTGTTTCGTGAGTGCCGTTGGGCGCAGTTTCTTTTTTTTTTTTTTTTCCTCCCTCCCTTTCTCTTTGTGTGTGTGTGTGTGTGAAGGAGGATTCCGTTTGTTTTCTGTTTGGGCCTTTGCTTTTGTTTTTTGATTGGAAGTCGCAGGAGATTTTTAAAAAATGCTACAACTCTTTCAGCACGTGCAGAAGGCATGTCTACAGCGTCTCGGGGTCTCTGCAGACGCGGAGCAGGGAAATGCGGACGACACGACACCGCCACTGGCCATTTCGATTCGGCGTCTTCGTGCCATGGCGGGAGGAACAACTGTGAGGCGGTCGCTGGCCGGCGCAGTGGCGGCGGCAGTGCCGGAGGATGCGGCCCCGCCTAAGCAGTTGAAGCCGGTCCTTTACCCGACACCAGACGGGGCGCTTCGCCCTGCATCGGGGCAACGCAAGTCTTCAAAGCCGACTTTGTGTTCCTCGGAATCGTTCCCAGCGTCAATGACACCGGAAGATTCGCGTGGGTCGCGAGGGGAACAGTCATCGCCGAATGTGAGGCGCACATTGGGCCCGATTTTTGCCGAGGACGTGTTGTCACCTCCTTTTACCGCTGCTGTTGAAAGCGACAGGGAGACGCCTTTGCGGCGACGTTCTTTGCTTGCTGTAGCCGTGGATAATGGCCTCATGGAGACACTGATCCGCGTATGCACCCCCGCCAAATTGACCACAGAGGCCAGGGACGATTTCTTTACATTAGAGGAGAGAGTTGAGGCGCTTTACACTATCGTTTATTTAGCATTTCACACGGACAATGGCAGGAGCATGAGGCAAGTAGATACGTGTGAGGAAAAGCAGAAAAATGGTAAGGGAGAAGGGGAAAACACGTCACTCGTTTGCAAGCTTGACCTTTTTCAACTGGCTGCGACGGCATGTGATGTTTTGAAACGTGTTGTGGAGCAGACATTGGAGCCTGTACGGGTACACACCGAAGGAAAAAACGAGCAGCATGAGGTTGAAAGGGATGCTCAGACGCTGCGCGCTCTTGTCGTTGTTGCCAACACCTTTTTTATTCTTCTTGGCTGCCAGAACCCAAGCCACTGGCAGGAAGAAGAGGATGGCTGGGATATGGATGAGGCGACAATGTCGTACATCGATGTACCATCAAAAAAGATATTTTCCCTTTACGAGGCAACGACGCAAGAGGGTGATTTCTGTCTGTGCAGTGACGCCGATTCATCGTCGTACCAGTTTATGATGACCGCACTCACAGAGAATGGACTGTGGCAGTATCTACTGCGCCATGTGGCCTTTTCCTTCTTGTCGAGGCCGGGAGTACCGTGTGAGTCTCACAACCATCTGGAGGAGCCCATTGCAAGGAGTAAACAACGGGAGGCTTCGGAGTATCAACAAATCGCACGCAATTTGGGGGTTCGTTTGACGCTTAAAATAATGACTCTTCTGCTTCTGCGGAGTGTGGCAGCAGTCGATCGGGACCTCTCCAGCATTTTATGTTGCCTCACACCGGCGGAAGAAGAGGAACTGGAATTTGGGTGGCATCGTGCCTTCTCACATTTAAAAGGGGAGGAGAAGAGTCATCCCTCACTTTCTTTAATGGAGAAGCAATTTGTTTTTACTCTACGGCGGCTATCAGGCTTTTTGGTTTTTCGCCGCTTCTCGTGCCTTGCAGCGAATGCGATGCATATCCTATTCACACGCTTACTGCTTCTACCGGCACCAATAAATGTCGACGTGCATGTCGTTTTGATGGCGTTGTTCTTTGTGGAAGAACACCCACCTTCCTTTCTGATGCAGACGCCTACAATGAGGAATGAAACGACGACTTCTCCCAATCATCTTCGTGGGATTGACAGTTATGCCGAGCCCCGGAAAACTGCAAATACGGCGGTGGTATCCGACTTTCTTAACCACCTCCTGCATCTCTTCTCCTTTAACCTTTCATTACAACGCAAGAAAGAGGGTGGTCGTGTCCCTAAGAAACAGAGGCACATTTATGCCGTGAGAACAACAAGCACTGAACTGACCCTTTCGGGAGCCCTTCTATCGGTGGTGCTGCTTTTGGAACAGAAACAGCAAGAACGAAAGGGAAAAATAGAAGAGGAACATCGACATTACCATGCGTGCAACGGGATTTCCATTGAAGCAATGATGACGCGGCACAACTTATACAGAACATGCGAGGAATCACCAGAGTTTCAGACGGCGTTGTCTGCAGGCTTGGGCCGAACACATCAAGTGGTGCTTTTGTTTTCCGCCATTTCCGCCCAGGATGGCGTAGCCGTGGTGCCGTTAACGACGCTGCGTCTTGAAGGGACTCAATTAACGGCATTTTCACATTTGGTGCGCCCCAACGAACCCCTACCCTCTGCCCTGCATCGAAGGATGGTGGAGTCTGAGGCGTGGGCCGAGACGCTTACTGTCGGCGTTCGTAGCTCAGCCTCCATCGCCGCCTCCGCTGCAGGTGTAAGACGCAAGAAATCAGAGACCACTTTTTCCTGCGCTCTAACATGTCCGGTGCGACTTGGAACACTGAACCGTCAGCGCCAGGGATACAAGGACGCTCGAAACAATGGAGGTGCTGTCAGTGGAGATGGCTTGAGTGATCGAGTTCTGCAGGTATATTTGAAGGCACCTTGTACGGAAGAGCCCACAGGTGCAAAAACGATTAGTAGTGGCGCCATCAAAGCGACATGTGTTGTTCCACCGGAGGATTCACCACCCCCAATGTTTTTTGGATATGAACCTGCCAGTTTTAGGGATGGCGTGCATGCAGGTGGTGGCAATGGCAATCATAATAATAGTGGTGGTGGGAAAGTGGAAACCATGTTTGTGAATTGTGACCCTCTGAAGTATACCCAATTGGTTCATAACATGTCTTGTTCCTCGTCCCTCCAGCGCACGACAATGACGTACACTGCCGCTGTTAATCTGACAATTGTCACAACACCATGCGAAGAAGATGAACAAGAGCTGATGTGGCCCTTTGACGCTGTCATTTTTGCCTGCAGTACTGTGCACGGTGATGAACTGCAGCTCTTGTCACAGCCCCCACAAAAATTTATTTACTCCTCACAGGAGGAAAAAAACAAGGCATTCTCAGAGCCGCGTGGGATAAACGAGAGAGAGGCGCAATCACGACACGATCGCCGTCGAAAAGTGTCATTGCAGCGGGGAGCATCGCCCCCGTGGGCAGGAACCAGGGGAGGAAAAGTTCTTTGTCATGCGTCGCGTCGCGATCGTGATGCCACCGCGTCTGCCGAAAGTCCCTCTCTGGCTGCTGTTAATGAGGAGAGTCATCTGTCGGGAGTTGAAGGGGGTGCATCACGCATGAAGGAGGAGATTTGTGTTCCTAATGGGAATGACCCCGAGGCTCAGGCGGGTTGTTCTCGCCATAGCCATGAAAATGGTGCGAGCCAAAGTGGACAAAACGAAGAAGAAGATGATGAAAACATGTTCACGGACCTCGATGCTTACGTGGCCAGCATAAAACCCTTGCAGGTGATAGACTTTGGCTTGCAGCGCAAGGAGCAGGAGGTGGCACTGCTGCAAAAACAGCTGGAGCAGTCAAAGGCTCGTGAAGAGTCATTGCAAGAACGACTCCAAGAAGTCGTGGCACAGCGTGAGGAACTGATAAACTCTCTAACAGACCGACGTGTGGAAGTCGAGCTCTGTCATACAGAAATTATTGCACCCCTACGAAGGGAAGTGACGCTGCTTCGACACTCGCTGAGTTTGAGAAACCAAGAAATGAGCTCCGTCATCTCACTTTGCCAAACGCTGCGGGATGAGAATGCGTCCATGGCCGAGATAATACGGGATGTTCGCGGTCGAGTGGAGAGTTTGGCCCGAAATGCAGAGCACCAGAAATAACCCGGTTTTTTCTTCAAGGTGTTATTAACTCTTGGTTCTTTTATTCTCTCTCCCTCTCTCTCTCTCTGTCTCTCTCTGTCTCTCTCTCTTTTTTTTTTTTTTTTCTCTTCCTATTTTTGTTGTATTTTACGTTATCGATATTTTTATCACATCTTCATCCGTCTGTCTGTGTGGGGAGAATGCGGATGTATGGTGATATATTGCGCTTTTCTCACTCTGTGTCTGTGAGTCTGTGAGGGAGAGAGAGAGAGAGTGTGTGTGTGTGTGTGTGTGCGAGTGAATGGAAGGGGGAAGAGTCCTGATGGGCACGTCATTACTATCGTTCCCCAGTAAAAAGGTGTGATGTTGTCTGCTTGCATTCAAACTAACCCATTGTGATGTATCACATGTCCGTACGCGTATAAATACATTTGGTACGTGTGTGTGTGTTGTCTGTTTGTCCTGTACAATTTTTTTTTTTGCAATTCTCTCTCCTTCTCTCTCTTTCTCTCTTCCACATAATCATTAAGATATTGCACGCATCCACATAAATAAATGTATATTTTTATATATAAACGTAAACATATACCTCGTCCTTGTCCCGTGTTAAATTGACCGCGTGGCGAAGGCTATTCAACAGACGTTATTATTGTTGTAACATTGAATTAAAGAATTACTTGGCAAAAAGAAAAGTTGTTGTTGTTGTTGTTGTTGTTTTTAGTCAAAAAAAAAAAGAAAGCCGCATGGTAAAAACCGTGCCGGACGATTATTTCCCCACGGAAAGTGATGGGAGGCAGACTGAGCTGTCCAAAGGAGAACCTTCATCCTCCGGTGGTTCTCGCATTACAGCATGGTTTTTGTCAAGGCCGTGTACGCAGTTTGTAGACTTTGGAGTCCCTGAGGGCGGGGATCTCCGCAATGCTATTGACACCGTGACAGCGCTGGTGCAGGGGGATAAAATGGAGGCGGCAGGCCACGTTGTTGAGGAAGCGGCGCTCCATGTGGAGGTATTTGCAGTCAATGGAACGTTATTAGCGATGGGCACCAACGTGTTGCTAAGTGTGATTTTCAATCCTATGCGTACTCTCTTTTTAGAAATTCTGCTTAAAAACGCGAGAGGTAAACTCATGATGGCATTACAACACACATTGCTTGGGTCTGACACCGCCACTGCAACCAAAGGTGTGGCCCATGGCATGAATTCCAACAATGTCAGCGAGTCACCGTCACTCATCAACCGATTCTGGGTTATTCTTTTATCTCTGGATTCCGATTGGAGGCGTCGCACCGAGGTGGCAATGATTTTGGTTTGTATTTTGCTGTGTTTTTTGATTCTTCTGCTGCGTCTCCGCTTCGCAAAGTACTTCAAGAGTCTTGAGCTGCAACTCCTTCAGCAGCCCAGCAAGACAGCTCGTCGCCCCGGCCGTAACACCACGGACCCGCAGGGGGTGTCGCTTCCTTTCATTTCTCTCACGAGTAGGGGAAAGTTGGCTCCGGACAAGTTACCCCCTGCCATGTACGATGTTAGTGATGAGTCTTATGCCCATGATGATGAAAACGAAAACAGTAATAGTGGTAACAGCCCGCCCTTCCTTTCAAGGACGATGTAGCGGGAGCCGCTGGCAAAGGGGGGAAAAAAAACAAAATAAAAGGGAGAGAGAGGCCGCAACGAACGGAAAGAATTGCTGCTCAACAAGGAGAATTGGGCGCACGCCCATAAAATGTCGGAATGTAAAAAATAATAATAATAATAAAAGAAGGTTTTTTTTCTTTGACACGCTCCTTTGGGTTATTTTGGGATGTGTATACGTTTTTCTGTTTCTGTGAGTTTTTTTTTCCCCACCACCCTCCAGCCACCAGCCTCTCTCTTTTTTTTTTTTTTTTTTTTTTTTGATTCTCTTCTCTTTTTAGTACTCTTTGGGCGAACGGGGACGAGTAGCGCATGGTAGATGTCGTTTCTGCTTGCCATTGTGCGGATCACAGGGTTTGTCCTGTTTTTTATGGCGCTGTTGCATGTCAAGAAGACACGTCTCCGGCACCTGCCTTCACGGCGCACGCGCGTCTCTCGCCACCATGGAGAAACGTGCGTCTGGATGGAGCGTCTCGCTAACGCCGTAATTGAGATGTTCTACGTGTCGCTGCAGGAAAAAGAGACGACGACGACGACGATGAACGATGAGAAAGAAAACCGGGGGCGGCAGCAGACCGCAACATTTGACGCAGCCGGCTCTCGGCTTCGAGGTCAGGGGAATAACACCCGCAGTGAGGACAGCACGGGTGTGAAAGGGGCGCCTCGGCGACTGCTAGATTTCATTGAAGAACGACTGGAAGCCATGCTTGAGGACCGTGGTATTGCGGCAAATGCGACTTTTAAGGTCCATTCCATCGGTCACAGGCCGCCGAGTGTGCGTGCCATTCGTGTGACAAATCTCACAGGTACGGAATTTACTTCGAACTCACCCGCAACCCCCCAAGCAGGGGTTGGTTCTGTTGCGGCAGGTAACTCTTCTATGGCGACTACAATTCCATGTACCCCTGGTGTTCCTGCTGCCACTAACACTGCAGGGGCTGTATCGGCAGGCGTCAGCAATCCGGCATCCCAAAAAGTGAAGGGCCGTAGCGCGCAGCTTGGGCCGCATGCCCCGGATGAAATGGGGGAAATGCGGTCCGCTGATGCCCTCTATGAAGAGACATTGGGTGGAAACACGGCATCGCTTCCAGCAACTGCCGTGGAATTGGAAGCAGAAGTAGAATACTCTGGTGGTGCAGATTTCTCGCTTCAAGCGGATATTTGTTTGGCGCGTGGTAGACTTCTTCCGGTGTCTGTTAGAGTGAATGAGGTAAAATACATTAAGGCCCACGTTCGTGCGTGTGCAAAGCTGCAGTATGAAAGAGCGACCATGGATAGTCGGCGAAAGCCATATCTTCAGTGTACTTTCTGGCTGGAGTCCGAGCCAACATTTTCTCTCAAAATGTCAACTCTCTTCACCCGATACTATATCAATGACTTTTTTGCTGTGCCTTTGATAGCCAAATTCTTCTTGTTGCGCTTTGTGCGGCATCGAATGATGCTACCCAACGGTGCGGGCGTGACGGTCAAAGTTCCCCTGCCGGAGAACATTGTGGATGGCGGAACGCAGATGTGGTGCGCCTCAATCAATGATGTTGCAACAGCCGTGAGCTCCGTGAATGGTCGAGGGCCTTCTCGTGGCGTTGGATGAGTTCAGATGCGGTTTTCCTCTCATTCCCTCCTTGTGTATGCATGTATAATATGCATGCGTGGGAAGGAGGCAGCGTGAAGCGCAAACTTAAAAAAAAAAAAAAGAGAGGCATTGGATCATCGTCAATGTTTGCACTCAACTGGGTAATCTCGAATGGCGGATAAAAGGAACGGAGAAATGGAAAACTGCATGAATTCTTTGGAAAAGGGAAAAGGGAATCTCCAGTTGTTTCTTTTTATATTTCTTTATTGTTGTTATTTTTGTTCTTGCTTTTGATTCCTTCTTGTGTACAAATATATGTATGGATATGCGCCTTTCCCCCCTGAATATCCATTGCCAACCACGGGAAATACGGTCACAATAAAAAAAAAAAAAAAAAAAACATATATTTACGGAAATAAGAGGAGAAAAGGGGAAGACGACTGTTGGGAATTGGCTGAGCACCTGGTGGCAAACTCACACATATGTAGGATTTGTATTTGAATTTCTTTTGCTTACTTACCGCCATTTTTTTTTTCCTTTTTCTTTCTCCTTTTCGTTGTTTTGTCAGTTCTGCTTTCACTGTTCATCACAGTTACTTCACATCACGCAACGGCACGGTGGTCACTGCGCAAGGAATGAATGCGGCGCGACGAAAGTTCATCAAAGACATGATGGCGCATTACCGTGCCTCTCAGCCGCCAACGGATCACGAGACAATTTTGAAAGATCTACAGGAGCGTGTATTAGACATTGGACTGCGATCTGTTAACAAGGCACATGTGGAGCTCTTTGGATCGCATGTTAGCGGATTCTGTAAGCCGACGTCTGATGTTGATCTCTCTTTAACCTATCGCAACTTTTCACCCTGGCTTCAGGGAATGGAACGAGTTGATGAGCAGAACAATAAACGCATGATGCGCTTCTCAAAGGAGGCAGCAGAAATGGGGATGGAGGATGTACGTTACATTCGTGCTCGCATTCCTGTGGTGCAGTTCATCGACAGTCTCTCAGGGCTTCACTGCGATCTTAGCATTGGAAACGTGGGTGGGGTGGAAAACTCAAAGATCCTTGCCGCCATCCGTGAGGTGTTCCCTGACTTTTACCGGGCCTACATTCACCTTGTGAAAGAGTGGGGTAAAGCACGGGAGGTGATTGCACCGGAGCGATCCACATTCAACAGCTTCACCGTGACGACCATGGCACTTATGGTCCTTCAGGAACTTGGACTGTTGCCTGTCTTTTCAAAACCAACGGGTGACTTTGGCGAGTTGACGCTGCCTGATGTGCAGCTTCAGTTGGAGAGTTTTAAGCTACCGGCCATCTATGACTCGCTACAAGGGGATGATGAGAAACTTGGTGAGGCTGTCTTTTTTTGCCTGCAACGCTTTGCGGAGTACTACTCAAAGTATGACTTTCGCTCTGGTACCGTGAGTTTAATCCACCCGCGCCGGCATCGCAGTGTCTATGAAAAGGTGGTGAAACAGTATCTCGAGCGGCTGGGGGTGAAGAAGCGCATTGAGTGGGAGAAACATCTTGCAGAGCACAAGGAGGATGGGGCATTTGATGAAAATGATTTCTCCGCAGCGATGCAAAATGAGGCGACGCAGCGCCCCTGCACATCACCTTTTGTCGTGGAGGACTTTGTGAATTATGTGAACTGCGGTCGTCGTGTGCAGGCGACACGCGTGCAACATGTGCAGCAGGAGTTTAACCGTCTGCACGAGATGCTGGTGGACAAAGAAAAGGAATTGGATTTTGAGGAGGTCTTCCGTGAAAGCGATGTTGTGCCACGCTTTCATGGCTTTGAGGGTGTCGGTGCAAGGGACCCACGCGTTAAAACCTTCCGCGCGCGGTAGTCGCTTTTCGATCCTCAGCTCCTTTGTAAGGACACACACAAATACACATGAACGGGGTGGTGTCATCTTCTTTCTGATAATCTTGTTGTTGTTGGTGTTGGTTGTGGTGTTGCGGCAGCCGTCTCACGCCGCTTGGAATGATGGGAATGAGTCCAACGGGCCGAGAAAGGAGGAGAAAAAAATTTATATACATATAAAGGAAAAAAGAAAGAAAGAACAATGGGACGGTTTGATTTTATGTTTTTTTTGTTGTTGTTGTTGTTGCTTTTTTCTGGACTGTTTTGCTTTTTTTTCTCCTCGTATCTATTGTGGCAGCAGGTGGCGGTGTGGTGGCGGGGCGGTGTAGCGACGCGAGATCAAACATGTCCGTGGGTATTTACTCGCTGAAGGCGGAGACGAATGCAAGCAGCACCGGTGGCTCCCGTGGGATTAATAAAATGCGACGTTTACCGGCGATTCAGTTGGATTCATGGGAGTTCCGTAAACATGCGCGGGAAGGCTCCGTCATGCCGAATGCGCTTGTCGCATCTGACGTGGATGGCGATGGCGTGGAAGAAATTGTTGTTGGTACCACGGAGGGGCAAATTCTTGTGGTGAAGCCGGACCATCGCATGCCAATCTTCTCCCGCACGCTTGCCGCAACCATCTCCATTGTGTTGTATAGCGCAACCTACCGTCGACTTGTATTGGTGACGCTGGAAGGAACATGCGAGGTCACGGAGGGGTTTCTGTCAGGCGGTTGCAAATTCCCACCATCCGCCTCCAGCAGCGCACTCCAAAGCAAGGGTCAGTGTGACTGGGGGTTGCCACCCTCTCTGGAGCCCAGCAGTCACATGAATCACAGCTGGGGTGGTCACGACGAGGGAAAAAAGTCAAACCCCCCATCCACTTCTTCACACGTCTTTTGTGTCGTCCCAAACTGCACGTGCGGCGATATTACGGCAGAAGTGGGTGGCACGACGATATTTCTTGGCGCCCACAATTGTATATATGTGTATTCCCTCACAACGGACGGGGAGTTTCTTGGATCTCTCTTGCTGCAGGCACCCGTAACCTCCATGAAGTGTTTTACTGTGCCGTTTGCCACAGAAGGTCATTTGCGCATCATCAACGCTCCTCTATTCCCTTGTAGGAATGCTGCGGCAACACTGCAGACAACTTTCGACGGTTCTACTCCTAGAAATGATGCAGTGTTTATTGGGTCATCCACGCAGACCGTAGCAGGTGCAACATTGCTTCTGGTAAGTTGTAGTGAACGGCTTGTTTTATTGAACGCATCCAGCCAAGATGTAAAGGAGTGGGGAGGCTCAGGCAACCTGCGGTGTGTTGCAACACAGGAGTGTCCATTAGGGGATTTTCCATTAACAGGTGGCCCAAATATTCATACGGCTTATTCCTCCTCCTTTTATACCACGGACGTATTAAATCCTTATGAGGTGACGGGTACTCGGAGGACGCCTTTGCAGCCATTATGGCAATGCTCCATGAGTCGAACCTCAGAAATGCAACAACGACAGCGGTGGCCACTGAAGTCCTCCATGGATGAGGGCCACACACAGAGCGGGTTTTTTGACCTGTCGACAGTGAGCCGTCCGGTTTCTTCACCAGATACTTGTAACATATTACCGCGTGAAGAATTGTTGCTGTCGCCACGTAGGCAGCAGTTACAGCGTGGTGTCAGCGCCACCGCCGCTGCAGGCGCCCTATTAAATTACAAGGAGGATAGTGAGACGGCATTGGATTTACTTGAGAATGATTTGCCTGTTTCTTTTGCGGTGGATGTGGCGGTGAGTAAAAATAAATTGCAGTTTGCCATTGTCAGCGAAGATGGGCGTTGGCTTATCCTTGAGATGTCGCCTGTGTGCGGTGAGGGTTCTATGGGGGCGGTCCCAAGGACGTTAAGTACAAAACAACATGAAAATGGAAATGAATACCCTCCTAATAAATGGGTTTCCGCCACTATTGTGTGCTTAGCGTCGGGCTATTTGAAGCCACAGTGGTTTCTTTCGTGTGTTTGTAATTTCTGTGTTGGGCAAGATGAGTTTTTTACCGTATTTCTCTCCACAGAGGGAAACTGCTACCTTGTGGACAGCAACGGCGAGATTTCTGAGTCACGCCTGGGAGCAGATGCATCCTCGTTTACAATCTTGAAGGGTGGATTTATGGGGAATCCCGTGCACCCAGCCTGGGCTTCCTCCAACTGCGCAACGACAACCATGCCTACTGGCGTATCTTCTGCCTTAGTGCGTGATTTTACAGAATTGCCGCAAGAACAACAACAGCCGAGTCTTCTTCGGGCCTCCAGCGGCCGCGGTGTCTGCCTTGTGTGCGTGACTCTGGATGAGGTTGTGATCTCCTCCGTGGGTGGCGAACTGTTCCTTTCAGCACAACAAAGTTCCGTGTCTCTGGCTGTCTCGCGAGGCTTGAACTTTGCTGGTGGTGATGGTATACATGGGTGGAACGAGACTTGCAGTGGCTGCGGCATCACCGCGGAAGGTGGGGCCCATTTTATTGACGACATGGATGAAAGGGAGGAGGAGTTGATGCTACAATTGGGCACTGCATTGCTTGAAGCCGAGGGCTACGCAGACCCGACAGCTCTTTTCTCTCCAGAAGAACGGCGTTTTGCGGCTCGGATGTTGTGTGCCGCGGGTTACACAGAGCGGGAGTGGGAGTTACTGTGGCAGATGGATGCAGAGTTATCGGAATGACAAGACACCAAAGTTGTTGTTGTTTCCTTTTTTTTTTTTTTTCTCTTTGTATTATTGTGCAATTCAACGTGTGTGTCTCTTTCTACAGGACAAGTGAATGTGTTGTAAGCGCCTGTTCAGGACTTTTCCTTCCCCTCATTTATGTGTTTGTCTGTGTTTGTGTGTGTGTGTGTGTGTGTGTGTGTAATGCAAGGGGCAGAATTATATAACGCATAGAGATCGACCCACCGTGGGCTTCTAAACAAACGAGGCGAAACATATGAACGGTGGTGGGGTTAAAAGGCCAGTAGACCAAAACACCACCGGAGATGGCGCCGTTGCGAATTCGAAAAAAGGAACAAGCGGGCAACAAAGAAAGCAGCACCCTCCGAAGCGAGGAGCTGAAAAGCAGCGAACGGAAGACGACGTAAGATCACCGGTAGGAAGGGATGTAAACACACAAGACACAACGCGCACCGTCACTTCTTCAGGGTTGAGGCGTTTGAGTCATACAAAGGACGTGAAGCGGCCGTGTTCATCCGATCCAATTACCGAGATCCAGTGCGAGGCAGGAGTCGCGACAAGAAATAGGACCCGACGTGTGAACCCGCCAGACTCGCTGTGCACGTTGGTTTCGATTGGCGGCACAAACTTCAATGAAGAAAAACCAGACGAAAAAAAGAAAGCTGGGCACAACTTCTCAAGCGATGCAAAATCCGAAAATTGGACGGCAGCAGCGGCATCTGATACGAAGGGCTTTAAGGGAAAGTCTCTGCCGCCTAAAGTGGAGTCGCCGCCCTCGTTGTCTCCAGCATGGATTCTCCATCGAGGAAGAATAGACCCCAAACAATTTCAACAGCAGCGGCAACAGCAGCGTCAGCAACAAACGGAGAAAAGCCTGTTAACAGAAGATGAATTGAGTGTCTTTGCAGGGCTTGCAATTCTTGACGGAAATGGTGGCTGCGGTGATGATAATGATGATGATGATGGCAGCGTGGAGTATGAGGATGAGTCCGTCGTGGTATGTCCCTTCCGACTTGTGGGTAGCTGCGTGAAGGGGCAGCACACGGAGAGAGAAATGCTTTCAAGTGACACCATTCACTCGCACTTAATGTCATTGGCAGGCCTTGTGCATGAATTACGCACCGAGCAACGCATCACGGAGAAGGAATGCCAGAAGCTGCACGTGAGGTTAGAGTCGCAGAAGATAACCATTGAACGGTTGGAGCGTTACATTTTGGCTCAATGCCCTGCCTCAGGAAAATTATTACAAACAGAAGCCACGTCTCCGCATGAAATAGGCCCTCAGGCTCCGAGGACGGATGCTGGTAAACACCCCAAGGGTAATATTCTGCCGGGATCCATTCTGAAGCCTGCGCAGGACCGATCGGTGCCTATGAAACCGGAAATGAACTCGTTGAGCAACAGCAAGCTTCATTTTGGGGGCGAGTCATTTTCAGAACGCGTACGACGCAAAACGTCAGTGGAGACGCCTGCTTTTGAACCGTGTAACGCGGTGGCGACGAAAAAAGGAGAATTTGTCGGTTATGAGGGTGATCGTCATGGATCTGTAAAATACATGGCTGAAGAATTAGGCACACCCGTCGACTTATCGCGTGCGGCGTTGGATTTGTCGCAAGTGAGTGCGACGGGCGGAGCATCCAGAAAAGGGGCAAATAGACATGCTAGCGGAAAACAGCAGCATCAGAAACAGGGAATGCCAGACTGGCGAGGGCATAAAGGACAAGCACAAGATGACAGGTACGGCGGTGCCGTTGGTGTGGTGGACGACTCACGTGGTGATGTTCTCAGTCCCATCCCTACAGTTGTTGGCCTGCAAGATAACGACATGTCGTCAAACGATGACGTTGTTGTGGCGGTGGCTTCCAGTGTGCATCCATCGGGTGACGCCGTGCAGCTCCCAGACTTGGGCGAGCGTTGTACGGCAAGTTCAAAGGTCCTTCTGGGGAAAAATAACGGAAAGCAGAATGGGACACGTGAGAAGGCTAAAAAAAGGACCATTCAAGGGAATTCCCATAGCTTTGGCTCCTCGAACGAAAAAACAAAGCGACAAGGGAAAAATTTACGCTGCGTAGATTCTGCGTTGGAAGAAGCGCATCTATCGATTTTGCGACCGAACCCAAAGACATTTGTAGAGTTCGGACAATTACGGTTGAGGTACCATAAAGCTTGTTGTTTCACTCTATATTTATTTTTTATCGTCATTATTTTTTTTATTTGGTCTTATTTTCTTGGTGTTTTTGCCTGACGGGGAAGGGGAGGGAAACATACATGGAGAGGGGAGGAGCTTGTGTAGGTCCCGTGCAGAGGGATCTTGTTGAGCTCCTTCATGGTGTGTTTGTACGCATATAACTGGGGTTTATTTGGCAATGTAATGGTATATTATAAATAATTGTTATTTTTAATTGTAGAGTAGGAAGACCACTGCCGTGTGGACGGTTTGCCTTCCATTTGAAAAAGGGACGGGTCTCTTCAACTGGCAAAGACTGTTCGTATATAATGTTGAGACGACATCCGCCTTGTTTTTATTGTTGTTTATTGTTTAGCGGTGACGATAATGACGGCTTACCGTTTTTTTTTTTTTTTTTTGTTTTGTTTTGTTTTTTTTTGTTTTTTTGTTTTTTTGGAAGGCGCGGTTGCCAAATATACCACCGAGTGGAATGAAGATGAGAAGAGAAAGTGAGGGGAACAAAAGTGCGCATGTTCCTTTTCACCCTGTCCGTCCCTCTATTTGCTACTTCTTTGTATAATCGACATTTGCGTGAGCGCGATTGAATTGCTTTGCAAAAGAAATTGACGGTGTTCACTACGGCCTGAGTAAAAATGGGCTCCGGACCCCGGCTTTCTGCAATACTTCCTTTTTTTTTTTTTTTTTTTCTTTTTTTTTGCCGGTGTTTGTGTGTTTGCCTGTGTACGCAAGCACGTGAAGAGCTGGTATATATAAAAACAAAACAAAAAAAAAAAAATAGGGAGGAAGAAAGAAACAGAAATTTAAAACAAATAAAAGAAAAGAAGAAGAAGAAGAAGAGGCGGGAGAAAATAAGTAGAGGGGGTGGGTGAGGGAGTTTGGAGGGATAAGCAGTCTGCGTGTTATTTTTAAAGTTCTTAGTGTAGTAAAAAGGCTTGAAGGGTGCACCGATGTCGGAGGAAAAAGTGCGTGTGTCGTGCCGTTTTCGTCCACTAAACGCGGCGGAGCAAAATGCCTCCCTGTGCGTGGCCTTTGAAGGACCCAGACATGTGATCTGTAAGACAGCAAGGAATCCGTGTTGGACCCAGCAGCTGGTGGCAAGTCCTCGTGGCGCGCTGACAGATGACGCCTCTTCGTTGAGTGGGACTGTGGTGGCTTCAGATTATTACAAGTTTGCCTTTTCTCGCGTGTACGAACCCGACACGACGCAAAAACAGTTATATGACGATGTTGCCTGCCCCATTGTGGACGATGTCATGCATGGGTACAACGGCACACTATTGGTTTATGGACAGACAGGGGCTGGAAAAACGCATACAATGTTTGGTTTGCATTCCCCTCTAAGTGAGGAATCCAGGTCGTTGAGTTTTAATATGCATGAAAACGCTGCTGGTATCGTACCTCGTGCGGTGCGACAACTTTTTTACGCCATTCACAGTGCCGAGGAAGTGGTGGAGTTTGAGATACGTGTGCAGTTTGTAGAAATCTACATGGAACGTGTGCGGGACCTTCTTAATCCGACAGGATGTAGTTTACATGTGCGTGAGGACCCGGCTGGATTCTACGTTGAAAATTGCGAAATGCCGTACGTGACAAGTACGGAAGAAGTGCTGCAACTTGTTCATAGTGGGCTGCGTCGGCGCGTAACCGCTGCAACAACCATCAACGACGCCAGTAGCCGTAGTCACTGCGTTCTGAACATTGTAGTGAAGAGTGTCAATCAGGCGAAGCACGAGGCAACCATTGGGAAACTATTCCTTGTGGACCTTGCGGGGTGTGAAAAGGTGTCGAAGACATTGGCCGACGGTCT